TGAGTTCTCTAGAGAAACAAACCCAGTGAAACATGTGTGTGTTGTCGTTAGGTGCCATCAAGTTGGCTCCGACTCATAGTGACCCTGTATACGGTTTCTGAAAGCCTCATCTTTCTCCTGATATGTGTGTGTGTGTGTTTGGAGAGAGAGAGCAGGGAGAGGAAGAGAGAAAGAAATTTATATCAAGGGAATTGCTCACAACAGTAAAGGTGGGAGAGTCCCAAGACCCGGTCAGATGAACCAAGATTAGCAGGCAGGATGATAGTAAAGTAGGCCACTGGCTCAAGTTCAAGAATCAGAGGTTGGAAGAGGAGCCAGATGCATGATCCAGACCCAGCAGAAATGAACAAGCTTTGCCTGAGTGTCTGTTATATTAGAAGTAGGCCACACGCTTGAGGAAACATCCTTTCAATTGATTGGCTGCTCATAGCCGTTCATAGAGCTCAAACTACACTGTTCATAGCCAATCATCATAAAGTTAACAACACTGTTTATCATCAATCATTATAGAATTAACATCACTATATTAGATCTTATCATGGGGATAACCACATCTCAACTGCCCACCCACTGGGAATCCTGACCTAGTCAAATTGACAGAAAATTTTAACTATCACAACCATCTTTTAAAGAAGGTTTCTTTTAATATTTCTTAATTTTTACAACAGTGATCTCATACAATATTTGTCTTTTTGTGATTGACTGATTTCACTCAGCATAATGTCCTTGGTTGACCCATATCTATGAGGTGTTTAAAGATTCATTATTCTTCTTCAACATTGCATAGTATCCCATTGTGTATACGTACCAAAGCTTATCAATTCTTCCACTGATAGTTATTTAGGGTGATTTAAGACTTTTGTTTTTATGAACAGTGTTGTGACAAATGTGTCTCTTATTTCTCATATATATCACGTAGCGGGATCGCTGGGTCATATAGGATGGTATTATGAATAATCTAATATCTTTTCTAGCCATAGCCTGTAAAGCCCTTTAAGTAACGTTTCTGCCCTGCTGGGTCTGGGTAAGAGAAGATGGGAGAAAATACTGATCGGATGGCATGATTCAGCTGTGGGAGCTAGCAGAGTTCATTGTAATCATGAAAACCTGAAACTCTAGCATTGTTATTGTGAACACCTGAAACTCTAGCAGGGTTTAAAATGAGCCATCTCAGAAGCAGGAGGATCTTAGTACCATCAAAGAAGAAGAGCCAAGTAGAGTGTGTCCTTTGAACTGCCTGATCCCTGCACATTGAACCTCCCTCCTCTGCTCAGGGACAGAAAGCTGTGACATGGGCGTGGGCAGCAGCAGAATCAAGAACCAGAGCAGTGGGCTTCCCAGCCCACAGAGCGAGCAAAGCTGAGTGACTTGGGCAGGAAGCTTGCTAGTACAGTGGGCTGCCTGCAGGCACTTAGTTGAGGAGTTAGGTTTGCTGATCAAGGAGTGAGAGCTGAGTGCCTTCAGGCTGAGGCTTATGGTGGAGGGGCGTGGCTTATGGGCATTTATCAGCAGCTGACTAAAACAGCTGTACTCTGAGCATTTCTGACCCCAAATTGTATGTACCCTGTGAGTCCTGGTGTGGCGCTGCAGGTTAATGATGGATGGTTCAAGCTCACCAGCTACTCCTCGGAAACCCTATATAACGGCACTTAACAGCGACAATAACAACTTCCCTAATAAGCCCTGTAACTGTGAGTATGTGTGTCTGAGTTCTGTGTGGCCACTGCAACAAATGATTGAGCCTAGCTGAATAGAGAGGGCGGTGGGAAGAATGGTGGGTGCTTCATATTTTTGCAGACAGCATTTCTATGTCCAGCTTTCTAAGGAATGTCACTGTACTGATTTCCACAATGGTTGTAGCATTTTATAATCCCACCAACAGTGTATGAGGGTTCTGATCTCTTCATACCCTCATCGGCTTATGTTGTTTTCCGTGTTTTTGAACTCTCTTATTAATGCTGGGGTGATATGATATCTCATTGCTATTTTGATTTGTATCTTCCTAATGGCTCATGATCTCGAACATTTCTTCAAAAGTTTGTTGGTAATTTGATGAATCCGATTGATTTTTGTATGTTGATCTTTTACCCTGCCACTTTGCTGAATTCTCCTATTCCAGTAGCTTTTTTGTTGAGTCTCTGAGATTTTCTATGAATAGGATCATATCATTTTTTGCAAATAGAGATAGTTTTACTTCTTGTGGATGCCTCTGACTCCCTTTCTTGTCTTATTGCTAGAAGTACAAGTGGTGACAGAGATTGAAATGCTTGTCTGGTTCCTGATCACAGAGAGAATGCTTTCAGTCTCCATTGGCAATACTGTCTAGATCTTCAAATTTGCCAGAATACAGGGTTTGATGTTGTGCCGTGGAGTCAGTTCCGACTCATAGCAACCCTGTACAGGGTTTCTGAGGCTGTAAATCTTTATGGGAGCAGAAAGCCTCATCTTTCTCCCACGGAACAGCTGGTAGTTTCGAACTACTGACTGTGAGGTTCGCAGCCCGATTCGTAACCACTACGCTACCAGAGCTCCTTACAGCGTTTGATAGCATTCTGTTATTATCCTTTTTGTAATTTTTTTTTTTCTGTTTTATTTCTGCTCACATTTTATTATTTCCTTTCTTCTGGTGACCAACGGCTTTTTTTCCTGTTCTTTTTCTTCGCTGTTGAAGGTATTGGTTTAAGGTGTTGATTTTGGTTCCTTTTTCTTTTTAATGAGCACATTTATTGTTATAAATTGACACTGATCTTTACTTTTGCTACGTCCGAAAGATTTTGGTATGTTGTGTTTTCATTCTCATTGGATTCTAGGAATTTATTTCTTCTATCACCCAGAGTAGTTTTTAAGCAGGGTGTTATTCAGTTTTCTACATTTGATTTTTTATCCTGCTCTTCCTATTATTGATTTCTAACTTTATAGTGTTGTGATCTGAGAAGATGCTTTGTACCATTTTGATGTTTTAAAATATATTATGGCTTCCTCTGTGCCCTGACATACGGTTTGTTCTGTTCTGGAGAATGATCAGTGTCCGCTGGGAAAGAATTTATATTGTGCTGTTGATGAAGTGTTCTATATATTTCTGTTTGTTAATTGTGCTGCTTCGAATTCTGTATCTTTGTTTCTTTCTTATTTAAGCTTTTATTGAAAGTGGTATATTACAGTCTGTTATTACTATGTGGCGCTGTGGGTTAATGCACTGAACTGCAAGGTTGGTTTGAACCGCAAGCTCACCAGCCGATCCTAGGAAACCCTATACAAGGTAGCTATGAGTCGGAATAGATTTGATAACACTTAACTATTATTGTAAGGAAGCTCTGGTAGCGTAGTGGTTACGAATCGGGCTGCGAACCGCAAGGTCAGCAGTTCGAAACTACCAGCGGTTCCACGGGAGAAAGATGAGGCTTTCTACTCCCATAAAGATTTACAGCCTCGGAAACCCTGTTCAGGGTCACTATGAGTCGGAACTGACTCGACGGCACTTAACAACAACAACAACTATTACTGTGGACTCCTGCTGTAGCGCTGTAGGGTAAGCACTAGACTGCTAACAAAAAGGTCAGTGGTTCAAACCCTCTGGTCGCTTCTCAGAAATCCTATGCAGGGTCACTGTGAGTCGGAACTGCCTCAGCAGTTAACAGCAACAACAGGTTTTGTAGCATTGTCTATTTTTTCAGTTTTGTTAAGGTTTGCATATTTTGGAGCTCTTTTAGATATTTATTATGATATGTTCTCATGTTGGATTGACCCCTTAGTTATTAATGCTTTAAAGACTTTTTAATAAAAATTAATATTGTTATTCCCATACTTTTTTGGTTGCCATGTGCTTTTCTTTCTTTGACTTTTCATTTGTTTTTATCTCGGTGTCTAACGTGTGTCTCTTGTACACAGCATATTGATGGGTACTGTTTTCTGATTCATTCTGCTACCGTCTTTTGACTGGTGTACTTAATCCATTTACATTCAGTGTAATTATCAATAGGTATGAATTTACTGCTGTGTATTTTTTGTGTGGCCCTGGTGATTTCCTTGTTCCCTATATTCTTTATGTTATTGATTTTTCATTTCCGTAATAATGGTTGATTTTGTGCTGACTGAATTCCAATGACATGTAAGTTAGTCCTCTTGATGGTGCCCCACACAATTTTCAGCCTTTTCTTCTTTTTTTCCTAACAGATTATTATGGAGGATTTGGTCTTCAATTTTGCTGATTTCTGTCTTTCATTATCTATTTCTGAAATTTTAGTATCTTCTGGATTACTGGTTGCAGTTTTTATATAGTTTTGTCTATTTATTTTGTCATTTTGTTCTTGTTTTGTTTTCCTGAATTATTCTAGACTTTTCTGTTTTCTCTTGTCTGTGATTTCCTTGGTTTTCTCTTTGTTTTACCGGAACTCTTCCTTAACCTATTGAAAGGTTCTAAATGTAATTCTTCTGAATTCTTTATCAGGTAAATTGCAAGACCATTTCTTCCTCTGAGACGGCTAGTGCTGTATTTTGCTTGAGCCATCTGGTCCTGTCTTTTGGTGTGATTTGAAGTTGTATGTTGTCTCTAGGATTGTGGTGTTACTGTATTTATTTGTTAATTTTAGTTAGCTTGTATCACTCTGATTTTTTGTTGTGATGGATCCGGGCTGGTGGGGCAAGCATGCTATGGTCAAGAGTTTGGCAGTACAGGGATGTTCATCACCTGTCTCTGGGTAAATTTGGTAGCAGGTGGGATTGTGAGCACAAGTCATGTAGAGCAGCTGAGGGTGGGCTGGCCAGATGTTGGCTGTTGTCTGCCATTAATTTAGTCATGCTAGAGTGGGTGGTGGCCCTTGCCCTGTGGGGGGTGGAGTGGCAGGTGAGGTGGTTATGACTGATGGCGTCAACAAATGAAGGGAGGAAAAGAGGAAAGGAGAAAATGAAGAAAAGTGGGGAAGAATGAGGGGGAAGAAATAAAGAGAAAGGGGGAAGAAAAAGATTGCAAATTAAAACGGCACAGCAGCGGGCATGAGAGCTCACTGATCCACAGACCCCGCAGCAGTCGGAGGCAACAGGAGCTGGTCCTGGTGGCCGTGGGAGTGTGGTACCCCATCTGTGTGCATGCACACTGCCAACCACAGAACCGGAGGGCCACGATGCAGAATCCCCGGGAGCTCGTTTTACAGATCTTAGAGGGGGCAGGTGTAGTGCTTAATCCTTGGGATGCATTGCAGGTCACTGCAGGAGACAGTGATGGGTGCTGGGAGGTTGTATGGGGTCAGGTAGATCAAGGGGAAGAGGAGCAGTGGGGGGGGTTCACTGGTCACCGGGAGGGTGGGGGTGCACCTCTGGTCACCAGCATGGTGTGCAGGGAAAGGGAGGGAGGAGAGCGCATGTCTCTGGTGTGTGGCACAGCCATAGGTGTGCTCCTGGCAAGTGCAGTCATTTTATCTCACCGGCCACTCTTGGCTCCAGAAGCAGGCAGCCTCCGTCTCCATCTCCCCCAGATAATGTGAAGGCAAAGAGACAATCTGTCACCAAACGAAGAATGAGTATTATATAAAATGATTATTTTTATATAAAATTATATAAAATATTATATCTATTATATAATATATATTATGTAATATATATTACATAATATATATTATATAATATATAAAATAAATGTTGGGAGTATTATGTTAAATTTGGAGGAAAAAAGATGCCTGGTTGAGAATTTGAGCCCACACACTTGATGGCTTCCTGTTTCCACAAAGATTTACAGTCTCGGAAACTCTATACGGGTTGCTATGAGTCAAAACCAATTCTATAGCACTTAACAACATACCCAGAATATTCGACCTTCTTCTGAAGGTTACAGTTATTGTGATAACAAAATTAAGTAACAAATAAGTAATATTGGAAAATTAGTCATAAAACTTTATTGGTAGATTATACAACTAAGAACCCTTATGTTTTAATTTTTTCCTTAATCTAGTAAATTTCCAAATTGTTGTTAAATGCCTTTGAGTTGGTCCCAACTCATAGTGATCTTGTGTAGTTTCGGAGGAGTGGTTGGTGGGTTTGAATTACTGACCTTGCAGTTAGCAGCTCAGTGCTTATCCCATAGTGCCACTTCAAGTAGAGTTGGCAGATTATCATCCTATAAATTACTTACTGGACTCCTGGGGGGCACTATAAGATAAGCACTGTACTGCTAGCTGCAAGGATGGTAGTTCACACCCACCAGCCACTCCTGGACTAATGGAACCCATGAACATCAGTCTCCATGACTCTAAGACCATAAGAACTAGATGGTGCTTCGCTAGACTACCAACTGCTCTGAAAGGGATCACATTAGAAGGTCCCAGATAGAGTGGGAGAGAATGTAGAGCAAGATTCGAAATTATGAAAAAGACTGGGTTTACTGGTCAGAAAGAGACTGGACGAACCCAAGACTATGGACCTCGGCCACCCTTCATGTCTGGAGTGGAGCTCACCCTGGTGGCCCACTTTTCAACTAAGCAGTAAATAATTGTATTGTTTTTGTTAAGTTGTAAGTGCTGTTGAGTGGATTCCAACACATAGCAACCCTATATAGAGTTTCCAAGGAGCAACTGGTGAGCTTGAACCGCCAATCTTATGGTTCAAACCGATTTTGCAGTACAGTGCATTAACCCACAGAGCCACACCAGGACTCCAGATAATTCTATGGTGGTGGTGGTGGTGATGTGCCATGGAGTCTATTTTGACTCATAGCGACCCTGCACAGGGTTTTTGAGGCTGTAAATCTTTCTAGGAGCAGAAAGCTTCATCTTTCTCCCACGGAACAGCTGGTACTTTCAAACTGCCGACCTTGCGGTTCGCAACCTGATTCGTAACCGCTACGTTACTAGAGCTCCTTAGATAGTTCTCTAGGGGAGACAATAACACTAGTGAAATCTGCTCACCATGGAATGGTCAACCATTCAAGATCAAGAGGGCAACATTTACCTGGGGGTGAAGTTCAGAGGGGTTGGGAAGGAGGGTGGAGAAACAGGGAGGAAGTGGGATAACTGCTGTTTGCAATCATTGAGATGAAGCAAATGTGTGATTTGTTGGAGGTAGAATTGATGATCTGCTCTGTAAACCTTCACTCAATTCACACAAAAAAGTTTCAAAAATAAAAACAAAGCACAGACAAAGAGGAGAGAAGTGTTTTGGCAAATATCCCTCAGCCAGAGGTGGAATGCTATGAATTATAGTTATGATGTGTGCCGGTGGCTAAAGTCTTTTCTCACGTTCGCTACATTAACAATTATTTTCTGCTACAGTACTATGTAAAGTTTGGTCCATGGATTGACTGATAATGATCTACAAATTGTTTACTTCTGGTCTGTAACAAGTTAAGCATAATGACTTAAATGCCAACACCAAGAGTAAGCGTTTAGAAACCTTTACAACAATGTGAATTAATTTATGACCACTAAAAATAATAATTTTTAAAATGACTTTTATTTTGTATGTTTTTCTTTCCATTTCATATTTTCGGGCAATCCATTTTTTATTGTCTTTCTTTCACAAAAGTATTGGTCAACAACAGATTGCGGGGTGGGCCTTTGAGAGGCACTGCGCCAGTATCAATCTGCTAAAGTTAAGCTGAGACTGGAAGCCTTGGTGGTGCAGTGGGTTAAGCATTGGGCTGCTAACAAGCAAGGTTGGTAGTTCAAAACCAGCAGCTGGTCCTCAGGAGAAAGATAAGGCTGTCTGTGCCCATAAAGATTGAGTCTCAGAAACCCTGTTGTTACTGTTGTTAAGTGTCGTCAAGTCGGTTCTGACCCATAGCGACCCTGTATAGGGTTTCTGAGGAGCAGCTGGTGAGCTTGAACCGCTGACCTTGGAGTTCAAACCGCTTTGCAGTCTGGCACATTAACCCACAGCACCACGCCAGGATTCCAGATACAGTAGTTCTAATCTGTCTCTATATAGTTGCTGGTATAAGTTGGAATCAACTGGATGGCAGTGGGTTTTGGTCTTTGGGTGATGATATAGTTTTTCTACTCTTTAAATAGATAGGTATAGTATAAAATGTTTCAGTTGTGAACACGAAGCAAGAAAGATTCCGACGTATAACCTAGCATAAATTTTCTCATTTCCTAAGAGGTTAGTTTGTATTAAATAGTCACTGCTCTTATAAAAGTTTGAATATTTCCTAAAAGCCATCGTATGCACTTTACATTCATAGTTTCCTCACTCATGTGATTTCTCTGATGCAAAGTAAGTTGGTCGCTACGAATAAAGGCTTTCCCACATATTTTACATTTGTAAGGTTTCTCACCTGTATGAATTCTGTAGTGCCGAGTAAGGTTTCTCACCTGTATGAATTCTGTAGTGCCGAGTGAGTTCTGAATTAACACTAAAGGCCTTCCCACAGTCCTTACACTTATAGGGCTTCTCCCCAGTATGAGTTGTGTGGTGTCGAGCAAGTTCTGCCTGAAGACGAAAGGGAGTCCCACATTCTTTACATCCATACGGCTTCTCACCAGTATGGAGTCTAAAAAGTGTTGAGTAAGGTGATACCTACAACTGAAGGTCTTTCCACATTCCTTACATTTATATGGAATCTCACCGGTGTGGATTCTCTGATGTAAGCTAAGTTGATAACTACAAATAAAAGCGTCCCCACATTCCGTACATGTGTAGGGTTTCTCACTGGTATGAAGTTTGTGATGTTGAGTAAGATGGTAGTGACGACCGAAGGCTTTCCCACACTCCTTACATTCATAAGGTTTCTTGCCAGTATGGATCCTATGATGTTGAGTAAGATGATTGCTATGAACAAAGGCTTTCCTACATTCTGTACACTTGTAGGGTTTTCACCAGTGTGAATTCGGTGATGCTGAGTAAGTTCTGTTGGAAAGCGAAAGGCCTTCCCACAGTCTTTACATTCATAGGGTTTCTCACCGGTATGAATTTTGTAATGCTGAGTGAGATTATAGTGATGACTAAACACCTTCCCGCATTCCATACATCCAAAGGCATTCTCGCTGGTGTGAGTTCGCTGGTGTGAAGTAAGTTGATTGCAACGGATAAAGGCCTTCCCACAGTCCTTACATTCATAGGGTTTTACACAAGTATGAACTCGAGGTGTTGAGTGAGTTCGGCTTGGAGACGAAAGGCTTTTCCACATTCTTTGCACCCATAGGGTTTCCCACCAGTGTGAATTCTGTGATGTTGAGTAAGATGATAACGACTACTAAAGGTCCTTTTGCAATCTTTACATTCATAGGGAATGTCACCGGTGTGAGTTCTCATGAGTAAAGTCAGTTGATTGCCACAAATGAAGGCTTTCCCACAGTCTGCGCATACGTTCTCTCCAGTATGAATCTTCTGATGTAGAGGATGAGATACATGGTTTCTGATTATCATTTGATGAATGCATCCCATTGGATGTTCTTCTTGTCTCTCAAATTCATGTTCACATTGCACACTCTTTTGGAAAATGGTGGCCTCATTCATGTAGGTTTTACTTTTTTCTACTGTCTGCCACTGAGATATGTATGTTTCATAAATATCTTGTTCTGGAAATAACTGCTTGGTGGCATAGCTGGACTCCAAATCTGAGGGAAGGGAAAAGGGCAAGAAAACAATGACAACAACAACAAAATGCTGTAATGCTATTTTTCTGTGTTGTGGGTTAGGTAGGAGGCTGCATCTTATAGTAGAAATAAGACATAAACAATATAATTCACATTAACAGTACATGACAGCAGAGGTTCAGCAAACTTTTTCTATAACAAAAACAAAAACGTAGGCTTTCCATGGCAGATGGTCTTTTCCCTCAGATCATTTGGCTATACAGATCGTCTTGAATGCTCTGTATCAACAGAGAATCTGTATCAGTTTTTTTTTTTCTTTAAACCAAAGAAGTCTCTTTACCCTTAAAATAAAACACACACACACACACACATTACCATAGATGATAAAGGTCCTTGCTTACCTGTAAGGCCTATTCAAGTCATTACTGGCATCTTTGCTTCCAGTCTCCTCCTATAATGTACCCTTTCTGATATTACAACCTTTGCTCTCCCCTAAGGCTTTTGACAGGCTGCGCTCTCTCCAGGAATATCTGACTTTGGCGCTTTGTATGACTGACTTCTTCTGACCCTTCAGGTCTCAGGTTAAACATTACTTCCTCAGGAGGGTTTAAATATGTTCAAAGAAGCAAAGAAACGAATGCGGACAATATCACATCAAATAGATAATATTAATAAAGATATAGATACTATTTCTTTTTTTTTTTTTAAAGATCTAAATAGAAATACTGGACATAAAAAGTGTAACTAAAGTGAAGATTTTACTAAAACTCTGTTTGAACTTGCAAAAGAGTATGGGCAGTTGAGAACAGATTCAATAGAAATTACATTAGGCAAAGAATGTAGAAAAAAAGAATAAAGAAAAGTGAAGTTTCAGAGAAATGGGAGGGGGAGACATCATTATGTACATCATCATACATGCAGTGGGGGGACTGGAAGGAGAGGAGGAAGAGAAGCACAGAAAATATATTTGAAGAAATAACGGCTGAAAACTCTCTCCAAATTTATTGACAGACACTGATCTCCAGGAAATCCCCACTCAGACATAAAAATATTAAAAGTCAAAAACAAGGAAAAAAAATCATGAGAGCAGCAAGAGAAAAATGACTACTTGATGGAGGTGGTGGTGGTGATTATGTGCTGTGCAGTCGGTTCCGACTCATAGTGACCCTGTACAGGGTTTCCGAGGCTGTTTTACGGGAGCAGAAAGCCTCACTTGATAGAGCCAACAAAAACCACAAATAAGATAAACAATTGATTCCTCATAAGCAGTGATAGAAGTCAGAAGGAATGGTAACATGAAAAGTGGCGAAGGAAAAAAAGTCTCTGGTGCCAGTAAATGACTTGTGTTGGTTCTGACTCATAGCGATCATGTATAGGGTTTCCAAGGAATGCTGATGGATTTGAACTGCCGGCCTTGAATTTAAACTGACCTTGCAGTCCAGTGCTTACCATAGCAATACTCCAATGACCTAACCAGAGGCAATAAATAATGTTCACTGCCTACAGGGGGCCTTTCACTTTTATTATCCCCTTTTTATTAAGTGTTGTCAAGTCATAGCGACCCTGTACAGGGTTTCCCAGGAGTGGCTGGTGAGTTTTAACTGCCGACCTTACTGTGCAAACTGACTTGTGGTCTCGTGCTTATCCTACAGCACCACACCAGGACTCCTTTTACCTTTCAACGTCCCCTTTTACTACCCCTTCCTCTACTTGTTTTCCGTACATGCTATGTGGCACACAGACATGGCTGTCCAATTAATATTCAACTCTGGGAGAGAGGAACTCAGATGTTCTCCTCTAAGCTGCAAACTGGGGCATGCTTACATGCACTCTAACATCAGGACACTGATGTTACCAAGGTTACTAAAAAAAACCAGGGGACTTAGTCTGTAAAAGACAATGCCTTATCCCCATTGTTGTTGTTGTTAAGTGCCATCAAGTTGGTACCGACTCATAGTGACCTTATGCACAGCAGAACGAAACACTGCCTGATCCTGGGCCAACCACACTACGGTTGCCACACTTGAGTTCATCAGTGCTGCCACTTGGCCAATCCATCTCGTTGGGGGTCTTCCTCTTTTTCTCTGACCCTCCACCTTATCAAACATGATATCCTTCTCCAGCGACTGGTCCCTCCAGACAATATGTCCGAAATATGAGAGACGAAGTTTGGCCATTCTGGCCTCCAAGGAGCACTCTGGCTGCACTTCTTCCAACACAGATCTGTTGGTTCTTTTGGCAGCCCATGGCACTTTCAATATTCTCCTCCAACACCACAACTCAAAGGCATCGATTCTTCTATGGTCTGTGTGAAGCACAAGACAAAGTCTGTTGACCTCACCATTAAAGGTGTCTGTGCTCTGTCCTTAAGGGTCATCACTATAAACATAAAACTATGCAGCAGTACTGCAGGGAGCTTATCAACTGATATACTTTTAAAGAATATACAGCTTATTGTATGTCAATTAGACTTTAAGCTGTTTTTTATTTATTGAATTTAAAATGGGTGCATTTTATGTCACGTAAACGTAGTCTCAGCACATATGACTAAGAACAGGCATTTTATTCTATGACTCAGCAATTCTATTTGTTTATTCTGAGAGAAATGAAAACCAGAGAGAAATAAAAATGCACACATATAAAAATCATTGTACAATAATATCTGCGCCAGCTGGCACAATCTGATTTGGGAACATAGATACCAGGATACCAGAACCTTGGCATTTGCTGTTTACTCTGATTGAAAATGCATTTCCCCAATGTTGATGTGACGTGAGACCTCAGTGTTTAGAGGCCGTGACCTCAGGATGGCCTTCCCTGAGTTTGTCTCAGTAAACTCTGACAATTGCTCAATATTCTGTCTCTTTACTTTATCTTCCTCACAACACGTATCATCACCTGTCATACTGCCTATTTATTTACTTGCTTACTATACGAGGAGGCTTCCAAAAGTCCGTGGAAACAATCAGTTAGCTTTTCATTCCATTTTCCCATGAACCCTTTGAAGCCCTCTTAGATATCTCCCTTACTACAACATCAGCAACTCCATGTCGGTAGGAAACTGTAGCCACAGTGCCTCTACTCTAGAAGGGGGTGTGAACACTTACTGAATAAAATAATTGTAGTCAGTGGAAAATGAATACAAGTGCAAATGGAGGAAGACTCATTAACAAGTTGTGATATGCAGATGACACAACCGTGCTTGCTGAAAATGAAGAGGACTTAAATACTTACTGATGAAGATCGAAGACCACAGCCTTCAGTATGGGTTGTATCTTAATGTAAAGAAAATCATTACCACTGAGGCGATGGAGAAATGGAGAAAAGATTGAAGTTGTCAAAGACTTCATTTTGCTCTGATACACCATCAACGCTCATGGAAGCAGCAGTCAAGAAATCGAACGACGCATTGCATTAGGCAAGTCTGCCGCACAAGACCTCTTTAAAGTGTTGAGGAGCAACTATGTCAGTTTGAGGACTGACGTGCACCTGACCCAAACCATGATATTATCAATAGCCTTATATGCAGGTGAAAGTTGGACAATGAATAAGGAAGACAGTAGAAGAATTGATGCATTTGAGTTATAGTGTTGAAGGAAAATATTCGAAGTACCATGAACTGCCAAAACAAATCTATATTGGAAGTAGAGCCAGAATGCTCCTTAGAAGTGACCACACTTCATCTCTCATACTTAGGACATATTATAAGGAGGGACCTGGATAAAGACATCATGCTTGATAAAATGGAAGGTCAATGAAAAAGAGGAAGACCCTCAATGAGATGGACTGGCCAGTGGCAGCAGCAATGGGCTCAAGCATTTCAACAACTGAGACCAGTCCAGGTCCAGGCAGTGTTTCATTCTGTGCTGGGGCCAACCCCGACACACTTATTAGGGGGGCTCACGAAGGGATGTGTGGAGTCGGCCTCGGAAACCCTATGCAGGGCCATTATGAATCAGCACCAACTCCACAGCAGGGGGTGGAGTGGATTGTATCTACTGAGGTGCTATGGATTTGTTTCCTCCATGTATGTGTTTAAATTCTTATCTCTGCACCTGTAAATATAACTCTGTTTGAAAACAGAAGTTTTAATATTGTTAATGAGGCCATACCAGAGTAGGATAGATCCTAACCCTAATTACCCGAGTTATAAAAAGACCAGAGTAGAGACACACAGAGAGACTGGCCACAGCAGCCACATACCACCCAGGACACCCAGGGCTGCTGCTGAGGAGGGAATCGATACCACTGATATCTTGATCTGGGCTTTGAGGTCCACAACTGGGGGGAAATGAGTTTCTGGTCTTTAAAGTCACCACTTAGGAGATGTGTGTTGCAGTAGTACTAGGTCATGAACCAGATGGCCTGGGAAGAGTGACACCCCAAAAGCAATGAAGCACACCAAGCAATCAGCTCTTGATTACCATTCCCCACTCAAAGGAGCTCCCTGGAGAAACGGCAGGTTCCGGGGCTGGGAAAGAAAAAGTTCAAAATGAACTCTAACTATTTGTGCTAATAAGAAAATGCTCAGGAAACCACGTGTGTTTATTTTCTCATTAGGACAAACCACTGAGAATGTTGTCACAAATAAAAAACAGGAAAGGAGAAAAAGGGGGAAAAGAAATGCGGGGAGAAACAAGGCTTGGGGATGGATGGTGGTGGTGATGGTTGTACAGCATGGGGCTGTGGTTGGGGGTTGCTGAATTGTACATGTTAAAAGTATCAGAAACGGCATATGTTCTGTTGTATATATGTTGCTACAATTAAAAACAGAAAAGTGTTCCAAGTGGGGACATGCTAAAAGGAGACAGAAA